AATTGCTGTTTTCTGGATTAGGCTTTTAACTCTTCGGGAGGTATTCAGGTGCTGCAGCATTGGGTAACATTATAAAAACTTGCATGAATGGATAAACACAAGCTGTTTACTTTTGCAAACCAGTGAAATGTTCTGCATAGTGACTCAGATCTTGCTGATGTGAGCAGAGCTGCTATGAATAAAGAAAACCACACTCAGGCCTTCAGTTCAACACAGGGATTTGGACTTTGTTCTGCTGCTTTATAGGAGGAGGATCTTTATATGGTTGTGAAAACGTGCACGCATGTGCGCGCACAGACGCATCATTAAATTGCAAATTCATGCTCATTGGTGCATACGACCATCTCCAACTTATTCATGGCATAAGTGAATCTGGCTTTCAGATGGGTGTCATCCTCTCCTGCCATGTATTTACCTGAAAATCAACTTTAGGGAATGCCAAAGGAACCAAAGAATCTTTATTTTAGAGTCAGGTTTTTATGCTGCTGGCTTATACAACAGGTTTATACAACAAATAATAATAAATGTTAGGAAGTTTTAATAATGCTTAATAAATGGTTTCATAAATGTTAGCAAGTTCTTTCTGTTTTCTTCATTCCCACATATGCCTGGGCACTACAAATTACAAAAACAACGCTTTCTATGTATAGGTACTTATATTAGTTAAAAGACAGGGTAATTCAACAAAGTGAGAAATCATATTCCATCTCGAATTTCCAACTGTTAGTGTTATGCAGCATATGTATTTCCAGTATGTGCATATATTTACACACACACATATATAAACATTTGTGAGTTGCTCAGTTGGATCCTATCCACTTAACCTTTTCACATGGTATTTCCAAAGTGTTATATTAAAGCTTGCTTGCCAGCTTCAGGTTTCCTGCTCACAGAACTCATGCCAACCATCTGTGCCAGACTCCAGTCAGTTAATTCAAAAAGAACTTATGAAAAACTATTACACAACCAAGAAGACCAAAATATGAGTTTTCTTATCGGCCTGGTGCAAAAAATATGTTATCAAAAATAAAACATATCAGAAAGATATCCCCCCTCCCAATTTTTTTTTAAGGCTTGAGAGTAATGTGCAAAGTAGGAAGAAAGACAAAAGAAATATATAATCGAGAATTTTAGAACAATCATTTTCTAGCAGAAAAAGCTTCATGACCTGCTCAGCTCTCTGTCCCAGCAAGCGTGACAGTGTCTCAGAGCTGGCGGGCCATGAAGGTGCTGCCAAGAGGCTGTTTGCTGTTTCCACAAACACTGAGCCAATGTACAAGCTACACCCAGTAACCAGCAACGGGAGCAGCCAAACTACTGTGCATGCTCACAGCCTCCTCTCATTTAAGTCCAGAGATGATACATCTCAGGAAGAAACCCTTATGTCTGTGTTAAAGTAGCAGTAGTACTATCTAATTTTAAGACCACCTCACTCCACTAAAAGACCGAATTTTCACTTGGTCATGATAGTGCCAAGATGCAATGATTTCAGCTCAGAGTTTCCATGCTGGGTACTTCCTTCAAGCTTGTTTTGGAACTTTTAAGCCAAAGTGGTTCCATCATTTCCAAGAACAAGACTAGGAAAAATGGCATTATTTTGCCCCTATTTTAAAAGTTCTTTGAAAAGCTTGGGCACTCCTAGACTTTGGAATAGGGGCATAAAATGCGTCAGGGTTTGGTCACTGTACCAGAATAATATTTTCTGGCAAGTCATTAGTTTTTAAAAAAACTACACTTGGTAACAACTAGGACAAGGCAAGTAAAGAGACTGGGACATGGCAGGATTCAAGGGAAAAAGCTAAGACAGGCCAGAGCTGAGGAGCCAGTAGCAAAATGAGGCATGTAAGTGGGGAGCTACATGGAAAAGCAGAGATATCAGTGAGAGGATGCAAGGACAAGTCAAAGGGACAGGAGGAGAGAGGTAAAGATACAGCAGGCAGATGAAGTCTGTTTCTCTGCACCATGCACCTCTGGCACAGGAGGAGTATATAATAAAATACTCGTGCCCAGTATTCCTTAGTTTGTTTCAGTTGGCTTGGAAAAAAAAGAAAAAAAGGAAAAGAAACAGCAAACAAAATTATGCATAAAACTTTTTTTTAAGTAAAAAGGTTGAAAGTTGGGAATATGAATGCAAGAATTAGATGCACTGTGCAATTTCATTCAAGCCTTCTTGTGAATATTACAACCAGACAGTCTTTAATTATGCTTATTTTTTACCCTTGCAAGCAGAGATAGATTTTAACTCTGGCATCACTTCTCTTTTGTATGCTCCCTTCTCAGCCCTAAAAATGTTATTTTCACACAGTTTTCTACATTAGTGTTTGCTAAACACTAAAAAAATTGCCATTGTCTCCGTTCATTAAATACTTTATAAACTAATTGTGTATATACATACACAGCTATCATAAAAACCATAAATTGCCAATCCATTATGAAAGTTTGCACATTCCAGCTTGCATATGTTTTATTATGTACTAATAGCACTTAATACATATTCAAGGTTGTAACTTAATCCTTATTCCAAACATATTTCAACCTTCCAATCCAGGAAAAAAAAAGACACATCAGTCATAAGATTAAAAGCCAAAATCAAGGTTAAGGGACAATTTTTCCCCACAAACTGCACAATTAATTGGGCAAATGGTGTCTGAATATGCTGAATACACGATTTATCTAAAATTCAACTATTTTACTTTCTGTGCTATCTGCCTCTACAACAGAAATACAAGAAATAAAATTTATACGAATTTGATGAGCTTTATTACATCCTGGGGTGGGAAGAAGCTAATGATGGGATCAAAGGGTGGTTCCAAAAGTTATTAATATCTGATTGTGTAGTTATATTGTGAAGTGCATTTGGTCTAGCTGGCTGGCTATACGACATCAAATAATTGTCAGAGATCTGCGGTTCCTTCCCTTCCCTTCCCTTTCCCCTTCCCCTCCCTCTTCCCTTTCCTCTTCCCCCTTGCTCTTTCCCCCTTCTCTCTTTCTTTTCTTGCTTTTGCCTTTGTCTTTCCTAAAATATGCTTCTAGTGTTTTCCTTTGCAAAGGTGGCCTCTAACAGTTGTTTCACATCTGGAAATTTATTTCATTGGAAGAAAACAAGAAAACACTTTCTCATTGCAAGACCCAAAGAATTGGTTGGTTTTGAGCATTGCCACAGGCCAAAGAACCCTCCTTCCTCAGAGCATCGTGTTTCTTTCCCTCCTGCAGACTGCAGGGTGCAAAAGGAGAGAGGATAATCCCTCCATTTCCTTCTTGCCTTCTCATCCCATCCGCTACTGCCTACAGACAGACTGGTAACCATGACCATGAAAGCTGCCATTCAAGAAAAGCTCTCCATCGCAGTCAAGATTTTTACCTTTTTTTTTAGATACACTAATTTCTAGGAAAATATAAAAATTGTCCTTCATCAATTCATACTGGGGAAGATTTTCCTTGTAAATGTCAGATGCTAAAAAAAAAAAAAAAAAATGGAATGCCGTCTCCAAGGCTATAAACCATTTGTGAACAGTCATGTTAAGCTGTCATCACTATGCACACAGTATACTAAGCTGCACAGGAACTGAAGGGTTTTAGCAGTTTTAAAGAAACAGGCAATCAAGAGATGGCCAAGTATTTTATAAACTTGTTTTTTTAATAAATACATTTTCTGATTTAAGTATAAGAGGAAAATATATCTCTGCAGATATTTTGGGATGACAGTGTGACTTGGGGAGACACTGTGACTTCTATCACTGGCTGGATAGTAATAGAATTCATATGTTGTTTCCTTCTATCTCAGCTGAAAGAGAGATTTCCTTTAATTGTATTAAAGGGCTGTGTATATTTATTTATTATAAAAATCTCATCCACCTTTTAAGCATATCCATATAAGCATATGGATATATAAGCATATATTCCATATATCAGGTATATGGAAGAAGCAAATACCCAACTATTAGGCCTAAAAATTTCAGTGTAAATCTTCTTTCTAGTACACTTGGTCAACTGCTTTGTGAAGTTTTTTTTTTTTTACAGTGTATTTGATTTCAGACAAATTTTTTTTTTCAAGAAATGGTAAACTAAATAACTACTGCCACCTTACTTTATGGGGGGGAAAATGCTTAAGATGTATATCTATAATTCAGAAGTTTCATTCAAAATATTACTAGCACAAGCTGTCATTTATATATGCACACTACTATCGCATTGAAAATATAAAGCTGGATTTATCTCAGTGTCCTCAGGTAGCGATCCAGGATTCAGTTAGTTATATCTGGTCCTCCTCAGATGACTTACAGATTATGAAAACCATTGCAGAAATCAGAATAACTGCAAGAGCAGCGCCTACACTAATTTGTGAGTCATCTGAGAAAAATTGGCCTTTGCTAAAAGAACGGAGATGAGGAATAGTAGCATCCAGAGGACTTACTCAAGAGGTAATGGGAAACATGTTAGTATTTTTATTAACTTGCTGAGATAACAAAGTGTGCTCTTCAGCCAGACACTGCCAATACTTCTAGCTCATTGCTCTAAATTAGACTGACTTACAGTTTGATGTTTTAACCAACTGGATCAGTTCAGGAAACCAGGAGCAGCTTCCCAGTTTGATCACAGCGCAAACAGTTCTGAATTTTTAAGTTAGTTAAAACTTTTCAGTAGGCTAATTGGAAATCTTGTAGAAAACAAAACAAAAGCATGTATGGACACAGAGCCCCTGGCCAAGACACAACCCCGTCCCACCCGATACCACTGCGACGTATCAGGTGGAATCCGTATGAACGGCTGGACTGCGCTCCAGGACTCCAGGGCACTGCCCCAAGCCCAGCACAATGCTCACCAAAAGCCCAGCGATAAGGAAGACCTGGAGGCCAAACCAACCCACAGTTCCCCTCTTTGCAGGCACGGCCCTCTCAGCATGAGCATCCTGAAAACATGGTTCTCCAGGAGGAAAAGCCACGGGGAAGCCCTGTCCACACATCTGCAGAAGGGAACAGATGCAAAGAGCTAGTTCTTACCTTGCAAGGCATGGGCTTCTTGAATGAGATTTCAGCTTGAGTCCAAACACCCTTTGGAGAATCCAAGACAGACCAGATTTTCTCTTGAACCACATGATTCTCCTCAAAGATATAAACAGCAAGAGTGCCGCTCATTTTGAAAAACCCATACAAGGCATAATAAAATCGCAGGCAATACTGCAAGTTTCCTGGCAGAGTAGGGCCGTACAGCCGTCCAATATATCCAGGCTGCGATGTAAACTTTGTGTTTGCCAGCAAGTAATAACCTGTAAGACAGTGCCATTACTGAGTATTTCTAACACACAATTTACAGAGCTTATTTGTTATTAAAGCAGCTTCTTTACTGCAACAAACTTGAGTAGCAAAGACACTTTCTACTGGCAGGAAACAGATGATCCCACTCTGTTTGAAAGAAAAGAAGCATTTCTCTAAAAACATCCATGCTATCTTAAACTGAAGTGGCACATGGCTGTTAGTTATTAAAAGTGAGCACTATTCAAATTTACACTGAAAACTGCTCTTCTTGCCTGCTGGCTCCACTAGAAACATTATTTTAGGGTACCACTCGCAGATGAAAGAATCAATGACTGGGGCGCAAAGCATATAATTTCTTGCACCATATATGGAAGCCAGTGCTGTTACACTGTGATTTATGGCCCTGGGTGAGAGCAGGAAGAACGAGCTTGCCATGGTCTTGGGACACATTTGTGTGCACTGACTTTCCAAGGAAGGGAGTTGCAAATGATGCAACAAAACCGGTGTCCGTGGCGTTATTTAACAGCCTGTGGTGTGATCTCCTGCTCTATACACATTACGCTTCACTTTCACTCTGCTCCATCCTGGGCCATCCTTCTGATCCTGGTAAAAATTACAGAAATCTTCCTCAAAATTGCAGCTCGCCTCAGCAGGATTGAAAGAAATTCCTAAAAGATATATGCATAAACTCTGTTAGGAAAACACAGGATAATATTAGGCATAAGTTTTTGAAGAACAAGGAGATCCAAGTATATTATGCTTCATCTTTTTTTTGGCCCATGTTCAACCTCAGTTTGTGTTACAGCAGACCAGCATACACAAAGACATTGCGGACACAACGTACAAAGTAACACTCATATCACACTATCAGTTTTCCATCACAAATGAATCTTATTTTCTTTAATTTTTTGCCAGAGGGAGAGAAAAAATCCTCCTTCATAGTCCCTATAAAAATAAATGAGTTACATATACATTAGAAGATGATTTCTTCTTCAGGACAAAACGCATAAAGACATACACATTTGTTTTCATCCTTCTTCAAATATATTTGTACAAAATGAGTGTGTGTGCCTGTGTGCATGCTTGTCAAATTTAGTCAATTTAATTTCCACTTCCACTTCCACTTTTCCTTCTAACATCAATATTTAATATTTTTTTAATTATACTTTTCTCATAAGCCTTTTATAGTAAGGTACAATATGTGTGTGTATACACATGTTGTACATATGTAAGTCAAATAGCATTTGGTTCATGTGCTACCTCGTGGCCACTGGCTTCTGGAGTGATGCCTCTCTCAGCTTAACACTGCACGTATCAACACACAAAAGAAAACCATACCATATATAGCGATGTTTATCAAAAACTAATCCCCCCAGCCCAGCTGATGACTCTCTCATTGACCTGCTATGTGGAATTCACAGATCAGAATTCGCTTTAGTCTGAAAACATCCTCCTTGTGCAAGCATGCTTTTAATTCACATATTCCCGCTTCTTTAAAAGCTGCATCGATCATGTGTACCGGGGCCAAAGGAAAGGGGAGGACACAAGTCAGGGTGCTCATGCAATTTTCTGCTGTACCAGTAGTCAGGTCCCTCTATACCAGTACGCATGACCTGTGCAGGGCTTCCTCTCTGGCACATCTCTAGCAAGGGCTGGAATACATGCAGTTATCTTCAAGAAAGGCAAAATTTTCATTCTGGAGAGATGCCTCTGCTTCGTCAGCTTCACATAAGCCACACACAAGCTGCTACCCTTGTGCTTTTCTCAGCCTTCAGAGAAAGAGGTGGCAGCCCAGACTCCCACCTCTGCTTTCCCAGGCTCAGGGAAACAGCAGGAGCACTACCAGAGCCATGCAGCATCAGATCTATCTTTCCAGTGATCCTTCCACAAGCAAGTTTAACATTCTGCTACATGTTCCCTCCCCTGTGCTAATGGCCAGATCTTTGTCGACCCAAACTTCCAGAATAAATGCAAAAAAAAAACAAACAAACAAAAAAAGAAATCATATTGCGGTAATATACAACAAAAGGACTGTGGTTCTCTGCCGAAAAGGTCTTCAAAGCAGCTGAGAAACTGCCTACAGCTGAATACAAGAAGAATGAACAACTGTAGCACTTGAATATCTCTACTTAAAACAGTTAAGGATGGAAACTGCCATTTTTTAACAGAAAACACAAACAAAACAAAAACAAACAAAAAAACAAAATAAACACTTTACATTCAGAGTTAGCAGGCAAAGATCTAGCCAGATTTATCCATTTATCTTATCCAGGCAGAACTTGAGCCTTGATACTGAGACTAATATGGAGTTGGGGCAGAAAATACTATCAAAAAGTCCGTAGTGCAAGATGGATAAACTACCCAAGAATTCAAAGGGTAAAATGATATGAGCACACAGCACCAGATCAAGGCACATACAGTCTGAAAATACAACCCAAGATTTTCATCACAGTACCAAGCTAAACTAGCAAAATGAAGCTAAACCAGAATAGGCATTGTTAATTAAACAAAAGTGAATGTACTAAACCAAGATTAGTGGGTTAGTAATATAGCTAAAAGCTACATCCTATTGATATTTGAGCAGTGCAGATAAAGCTAGCTGATAATCCAAGCCACTGAAAAAGTTCAAAAATCTCTTCCTTCTAGATGACTTGAAAACATTGTCATAAAATTAAAATTTGTGACCAGAAAGAACGAATGGGCTTGACTGAAAACCACTAATCTGCTTTTGACTTATTGCTTATCACTAAAATCCAAGCAACTAGTGCAAAGCCAGCCCAGAAAATCGATTAACAAAAACCTAAGCTTGGTCCCAAGTGCCCCTGCAGCCGAAGTGATTAGGATCTAGCTGTATTCTGCTGCTGTAAAAAACTGTTCATCTGTTCATCTTATAGCAAGCAATGTTTTGTTCCTAAGAGTACGAGGGCCCTATAGTTCAGAAAGTAGCATTTCAGTGTCACTCCAAAGATTGCAAATATTACAATATGTGGATAAAAGCAGCAAAACACAGGATAAAAAAAAAACGGAATGTAGATAGCGATAAGAAGTCATACCTGTCTGATTGCTGCAGTAAACTGGAGAGAAAGCAATGTCATCAAGGGCTACATAACCTCCCTTGGCGCTGTTGAAAGCAACTTCAAATATCACCTGGAAATGACAACCATTTGTTATTGCTCTACAATAACATACAAAGCACATCTCTACTACCGAGTTCTTGAGTAGTCTCTGCCCAGACAGACCCCAGGGCAGCTCGGAGAGTCCTGCAGGAGTCAGGACAAAGTGAATTGTGTCAGCGACTGGTGACACAAATCACGGTCAGACCCTGGGGCCGTATCACTAGGGCCTTAGGAAGGGTAAAGAGAATACAGCTCTCCGACTACTTTATCAGGCATCAGTAGTTTCAAAGGTGCAGAAAGTTTACTATCATGAGATCATGCAAAGCCAGTACTTAGGGTTATTACTCTGAATTGGCTAAAACTTCAAAGCTGCCTGATTACTACTGTGTCTTGTATCTATCTGAATCAAGAGTTAAAGGAAAAAAAAACATATGCAGAACTCTGCATGAACTGTCATTATCACATTAGCTCTTCTCTAAATATAGTGTCCTCAGGCACTGAAACCCATGTCTTGGCATCATCTGGCAAGGAAGATTTTCTTTAAAAGTTATAATTAAGATAAAAACAGAAAAGTTACTATTCTGTTTACCGCAAAAGCAAACACGGTTTGTACTCAGACTTTCTCTAGAGACATTCCCAAAGGAGGTGGAGGACAGTCCATAACTCTTCAGGAAGTGTGTTAAAACTTATCTTAAGTACCAAAGCTCTGAGTTGCAGGAAAACCGTGTGAGGCGGCTTGATTCACAAAGCAACCCCAGGGAAAAGTAAGGATATAAAGACAAATGCTTCCACAGCGACAGCCCCTTCAGGGAAAGCAATGCCTGTGATGTTTCCCTACCATTGAGAGCCAAATTGTGAGAACTGCAGAAGAAACCCAACACTTTTTTTTTTTTAGCCGGAAGGAAAAAAGGAAGAGAAAAACCCCTTTGAAGCTCAGTTGAAATAAGTATAAGTCTTCTCTTATTTCTGTCCAAGTCTCTAAAAATAATGTTATTCATACCCAGATTGCATGAAAATTGTGGGGCAAAACAAAGGCACATCCAGCCCAGCATCTCCTTTCTGAAAGAAGAGGCCCACAGAAAGAACTGGATGAGGCAAGTCTTTGGACCTACTTCCCTCACATGGTATTTCTCATGGATTTTTTTCCTTCCACTAATCTTTTTAATCACTTTTTGACTCATCAAAATAACATGCTGTGGCAGCAGTTCCACATTTTAGCTATGCTATCTACGAAAAAAAAAACTCATTTAGTTTATTTTAAACCTATTATCTGACCATTAAGAATATGAGACAGCAATAGAAATAATAAGAAAAAGCAAATATCTAAAACTTCTCCAACTCATTCATGATTTTTTTTAACCTCTGTCATATCCTCCTTCATTTTTGAAGTGTCTTCACTCATCTAATTTTGTTCTCAGTTCTGATTTTCCTCATCTCTCTCCTTTACTTCTACAATATCCTTTTTTTTAAGTGAGAAGATCAGGGTTGTATGCTTTTCTGAAGACAGGAACACCCTATGTATTTATTCAGTGGCATGGTATGTTCTATTTTGCTGTTTATTCCTTTACAAACAATTTCTAATATTCCAGATGGATTTATGAAAGCCACTGAGAACTAAGCTGGTATTTTCACAAAACTAACAAAAGTGATTACTAATTTACAACCATAGCACTAGGACTGTTCTTCCCTTTGCAGGCTAGTTTAAAATTAGTGAACATTTAATTTACTTATCATGCAGTAATATGAGATCGTTCTGCAATTCCTTGTGCCTTTTTTATTGTTGTTTTACTATTTTGAACAGAATCATCAGCAAACCCTGTTACCTCCCTACTTAAAATATATCGAAGGCAATTTAAAAACTCATAGATACATTTATAACTGAGAGATAAGCATGAGAGACAAGAGCTTTGCATGCAGTCGCAGGGCTTTGACCTTGGTGGGATAATGGATATATGATGGGACACCTTGTACTGCAGTGGATGGATATACAGAATTTACAGGAGAGCATGGCAGGGGAGATGATAGGCACTGGATAAAAGCTTTTAAGGCCAGCCTAAAGGAGACACCACTAAGCATGACATTGTGGTGGCACTGCATGACAGACCACTGCCAAGCAGGTGTGGAAGGAGATGAAGCTTTCTTTGACCAAATTAAGGAAGTCTTTGTACTACAGACATCCATTATCATCAGATAGTTTAACCTCCCAATATTTCCTGTAAGGGCGACATGGTGGGATGTGACCAATCCATGAGATTTCTGGAGGGTGACATGGATAACTTTTTGATAATCGGGAGCTGGATGGGCCAACTCTATGTGCTGGATGATGGAAAGATGGATCTGCTATTCACTAGCAAGGATGAACTGGCCAGAGGTGTGAAAATCAGTGGCAAACTTGATCATGATTTGGGGGAGATCAAGATCCTGGAGGGAGTGAGGGAAGTAGGGGAGTGGCAGATTTCAGACCCTTAACCTAGTAGGTGTTTAAAGAAAGTATCCTGCAATCACAAAAACTGTCTGAACATTCAGCAAACCAAGATGTATCCGAAGGCCAGCCTCCTAACCAAGGAAGTCATGGTACAGCTCTAATGCAAAAAACTGCAGACAGGACAAGGAAACAAGGAGAGACTAAAAAGGAGGAAATGAGAAACACTGCCTGGGCATGTAAGTGTGGCATCAGGAAAGCCAAAGTTCAGACTGACTCCAGACTTCAAGGGTCTTTAAGAAGAGCTACCATGACTACATTAGTGGTAAAAGACTGAACAAGGAAAATGTGTGCCCCCAGCTGGATACAGCATGTGATTTAATGATAGTGGTCAAAGGTGAACCAGAGGTGCTTGCCATCTTCTCAGTTACCACCACCAAGGCCTATCAAAACTCTGTGCCCAGTGACAGGCCTCAAGGAAGAGAGAAGCCACTAGCCAGGGTGAGAATGAAGACTCACAAGTGAAGGTGCTGAGCAAACTGATGGATGTCCTTGCAAGTTCACTCTATAACAGCTTTGGCAGCTTGGGGTGATCATGGGAAGCCCACCGCAATAGAGGCTAATCTTGCAAACATAGACAAAACAGGAGAAAAGCTCAATCTGGGGAACTACAGCCCGGTCAGCATCACTTTTGGTCCCTGGGAAAATTATAGAGTCAGTCCTCTTGCAGAAAATTCTTGGGAATATGAGGGAAAAGGTGGTGATGAGAAACAGTATGCATTGATTTATCAAGAGTAAATCATGCCTGATCAACCTGATTGTTTCCTGTGATTTGCAGATGAAAGGAAAGCAGTAATTTTCATTTACTTCTACTCTAGCAAGGCTTTTAATGCCATGTCCTACAATGTTCTTGCATATAAGTTTTCGCAGTTTGTGTGAAAAGACAACCTACATGGGTAAAAAAACTGGTTGGATGGTCAGGCTCACAGGTTTGTGGTTAATCAGTTGTACTCCGCCATGAGGATAGTAACAAGTGTGGTACTACAAGGGCTAGCTCCCAAACAAACACCTATTTTTAAGTTTGGAGGTGTTTATTTTATTGATAATATTAACCAGTTTGCCTAACAGGGAAATCATGCTCTACCTGCAACCCTCTTGTAGTCTCTCTTCCTGGCATACTTAGGCAATTACACAGAATTGTCTATCACAATACGAAATTGTATATCACAATTAATAACTCAACCATTTTGTTCCTTTAATAGTCTTCTGTGAACATCATCTGGGTTGATGATTTGTTACTATTCTTTACACCTACTCTCCCACTGACGTATTCTTTTAATTTCCTTATTGCAAATAAAATTAAAAAGCTCTAGTGTAGGAGCCTATGTTCCTCACAAAGCACAAAGATGCAAAGGACTTAGCTTTTCTGATGCGTGTCTTTCTATTATACCTTTATGCTAGACTTCCAGATTTGTAGACATCCTTTTTAATTATGATGTGTTACTTTGTAATTATTTTGTTCCTTAAAGTATTATTCTTGCTTTCTTTACAGTCTGTCAGAGCATACCATCTTTTCTATTATTCTCATTTGTATATAACTTCTGCATTTAGAATAATATCTTATTTATGTCATAGCTTGCTTCACTATTTAACGTTTCAATTTTTTTCCTTTTTTTTTCCTTTTTTATTTTAAAGGCTTCAGATTGTTGTGACACTTTCATTCCTGGCTTCAGATATGGTGTCTTTAAATGATACCCACGCTACCGTCAAATTTCGTAACTTGAGAGCTACTCTTGTTCTTCTGTCCCTATAGCTGTTAACTATATATGTCCTGATTTGCTATCAAATCTCAGCTCCTTTCTTACACAATCTGAAGTCTATCTCAACAGATGACATGTAAGTTGCTGCATATGCCTTATTCCAGTTTGGCTCCCTACTTATCCTCAGGTCTTACATCACTAAGAATGCATAGACATGCCCTCTCTACAAAACCAATACTGCATTCAGCTCATCTCACCTTCCTGGTGAAGACTTGGCCTCCTGGGCCAACCTTGGGTTCATGTGATGAGTTGTTAATTGATTGTTGCTAATAGATTTATTTAGTTACTGCCATTTCAGAGTGGACCAAGAGAACCTTGACATTATTTAGTGGGAGATAAAAGATCTTGCTCTAGCGAGGCTCCACAACCACAGTGGCCTGATGGCCTGTTTCACCATCTGACCTAATCTATGCTAAAAACAAAGCACCGTAATGAAAAGTGATTTCCCCTTGGCCTTTATGCAAAAGAAGCAAACAATCATCAGAATCTTAATAAAAATCTTTCTGATACTTGAAGGCTACCGTCATGTTCCCTACTTGGTCTGGGGCGGCACCAATGTACAGTGCAAATGAACTACACATGAATGATCACTTTACCTCCACTGGGTATGGGGCATTGAAGTCAATTTCTGCTACAGTCCAGGCTGCGCTCAGGGCACTTTCTGTTTTCCAGATCTCTTCATAGAAGCCACTCATATCTCTCAAGTAGACGGTAAAAACAATGCTACTCTCCTGCTTAAGTTGGTAATAAAAAGATAAGCAGCCAGACATGGGGGCCGTTGTCCTTGGTGAGATTAGCTGGGCCACTTCCTGAAAATGCTTGACGTAAACAGAGTCCACATACATGTAGTGACCTAAAAGTTAAAAAAAAAAAAAAAAAAAAAAAGGAAAACAGAAAACATTGGAA